TCACTGTTTCCTGTCTCTAATTTTTGTTACTAACACAGTAAAAACTAAACTTCAATTGGAGAATACAAAAAAAGGGAGATCTCTCCAACTTATCAATCTTCTGCTAAATCATCTTTTACTACAAGCAGATGCCTAACTCGATTTAAGATTAGGCACTTTCTAGATTTTCAGATATAAAATAACCACAAAAAAGTCATTTCCAGACATGCTATTTTTTTTGCTTTACAGTTTTGTTTTTAATAGGGGGACCACATTCTGCTTTAGAGAAAGCCTAAATGTACAGCAATTCTAAAGTAAAGGAAAAGGACTGCCATCTCAATAAAATCACACTTAAAAGAAATATTTTAAGAAGCTCTTTAAAACCACTTTAATGAATTAAGGAGGTTTAGTGGAAGATCTAGAAAACTGCTGTCCTAATGGATAGTTGTGTTTTGCTTTGTTGTTTTTGTTTTTGCATTCTCTTAGAAGAGCAGGAACTTATATCAGACAAGTCCATGAGATCCTGTTTCCAGCACCTCCCATTCTATAATCTTTACATGGCTGGTGTTGCCTTCTTCCTTAGGATGTTAAAACCGGTTTGCTCAAATTGGCACATTCAAAAAGAAATCTGGCATGGTAGGAGGGCAAAAGGAAAAGGGTCAGCAAGAGAAAAAGCTGTCATGTCATATATAAGTTACAAGTTCATTGGGGGGAAGGTGTGTAAATAAAGGACCATTTCAATAAAATGATTATGCTAATCATTTTTTTAAGTCTGAATTCCTTAAATAAATATTAGAGATCTTTCTTAAAATTAATGAATAACTAACTTGTCATCTTTTCTGACATCTGAGAGAACCTGTTAGTGTTCCTCAAATGAGGTCCATTCTTCAAAAATTTTCATTCTTCATTCCTTATTTCAGAAACTTTTCATATCTTTGGGAAACTCATGGCTGTTTTTGGATAGTCTTCTCCCTACCTCCACCACAAATGGTGGAGCAAAAACTAGTTTATAGCCATATTTATTGCTACAATAAGTATAAATATAAATAAATGTCTATAAAATTTCAGAGTTCTCTAGCAAGCTTCCTTGGCTTTTTTTTTTATTCACTCTTCTCATTTTCAAAAAATTAAGTACAGATTTTTCCTAAACCATGACACAACCTACTCCTCAGTTATGGCCTTTGGCTTAGTTTCTCTGTGCTTCTGGACCCTCAGGAGTGCATTTCACTTTACATCATTCACATATATGCACTTACACATACATCAGTATTTAGCTCATAACTCAATTTATAGTTAATTTACAGTTAATATATGTCATTTTATTTTAACATTTCCTTTTCTCAGATCTTTCTATCCTTCAGTTGACAGAATTCACTTTTAACCCAGATCTTACTGTATTCTCATACAGAAGTTACTTTCCTGGAAATCAGTAGTTTCATTATAACTATAAACATCAAATTCTCCATCACATGTGAATTTGAGTGCCTGCTATATACTCAGGGCTGAAATATACTATGAGTTAAAAAGACCTTTATACAGTACCTGTCCAAGCCATAGACTGAAGGCCTGTATCTGTTCAACAATCAGAACATGAGACACTATTATATAAAGTAAAATCTCTGCTATCCAGAACCTCTGTAGGACTAGACATTTTAGATAGCTAAGCTTCTATTGCTTGTTCTTTTAAGGCATTAATGTGACAGGTCCTCTCCATTATTTACGCTTTCTAATCTGCCATGGCTTGGAAAATAGATACCCGAGTGTGAAAGAACACTATTTAAAATGTGTCTAGCATGGTACTTTGCACATAGCAGATGTAGCATGGCAAAATTGCACGTGCTGAACTGAACTGAGGATGGCTAACAGTGAGTACTTACAATGTACTAGAAATTGTGGTAAGTTTCTTACACGCATTATCTAAGACAATACCTATAAGGCAGATAATATTATCCCCATTTTACAGATGCAGAAATTGAGGTTCAAAGTGGTTGAGTCATTTATATAAGGTCAAGCAGATAGTCAGTGGTGGCAGTGGAATGTGAATCCAGGCAGTCTGACTCCAGCACAAGTGGCCTTAAGCATAATACTCTTTATACTGCCTCTGAATGTACAGTAAATAAGGGAAGGTCAGAAGGAAATGACGTTTATAACAACTTCTTTTTTAGTCTAAAAGTCTTCTTTGCTGACTTTCTGACTCTCAGGTGTGTTCTCAACTGCAAAGGGTTACTTTATATAAACATTATACTGACAGGCCAAAGCAACAAACTGTGAAAGCTAGGCAAGCAAAGTGTAAGTCGACTAGCTACTGTATACTACAGATGATGGGTTCCAAATAAGTAGAAGCTTGAGAGATCTGTGTGTATTAGGGTCATTAGGGCTTTAAGAAGTTAAGACCTAAGCGCAAGCAGTTAAGAAAAAAGGGTTAGGGTGAGTGTAAACATTTTACAGTTTAAGAATAAGCACAAAGCTTTTGTGGAATTGTGGTCGGGGGGGTAGGAGTCATAAATAGATGACTAGATGAATAGACAATTACACATGTGGTTTGAAACATTTATATCCACTATAGCTATGAGCTCCTATTCCTGAGAGCTTTACTTGGTCACTCAAGCAGCTGGACAAATGTAGGCCACATTTGGCAGTACTAGTGGGAGTAGGCTACGGCAGCTAATGCAAGGGCCAAGGCTGAAACTATGATTCTGCAGCTCTTGTTAAATAACCCAATGTCCTTGAGGTGGGGAGTGTGAGCATAGTGGACCCACACCCACTATTTTCAAACTTAAAAGGCAGAACATGCTGACTTAGGGGTTTTTTAAACACATGGTCTCATTTGCTCAGAAATCTTTCACTAGGTTGAACCAGAGTCACCTCTAATTAATGACACACCTAGTGAGTGTAACAAGTGCCTGCAGATCCTCCCTGCCCCTAGGAGTCACAGGGATGAGAGGCTGGGACAGCTCTTGAGCCATCTACCGTCTCTGTCAGACACAGGAGCAAGTCAGGAGTCAGCTGTCTTACGCAAGGGAATGTTGACACCACCATCGACACTTTATGGCAGACTGGACATATCAGCATGAGGCTCAAGGTGAAAATTGTGCCGAACAAAGATTTCCTAGTCTTGTTTAACTACAGGCAGCTAAATTCTCAGCAAAATTTCAACAGTGTCTGAGTGAGCTCACTAAGAGTAACCTAACTTGTACTTGAAAGCAGGAGATATGTGAAAGTTTCTCACTTCAGC